TCGAGCCTATCTTCTTCTCGTGCGGCCAACTTTTCCCTCACTTCCTCTCCTCTCTCTTCCCCTCACGCTCCGCACTGTCGGTCTCCAGCCTCTACCGCTCCCTGTCCGGGCTCGTGTATATCTTCCTCCTCCTCCCCTGGACTTCCTCGTGCTATCCTTACCCTATCGGCACCCGTGTCTTATTTGCATCACCTTTTGTTTAGGAGCGCCAACAGATCAGATCATGAGCCTTTAGTCCAGAACTGTTATTTTGTTTACTTTTCTATCAATCGACAGAGCTCCTCGACTCCTTTCAATTGCAGCATTGCATCTCTTGACAGGTTCATCTTGTCAAGTATTTCCTTCCCTCATTCCTCGGACTACACGTTGCCCCCATTAGCGACTATTGTTTTGATTGTCGCATCGCCCAAGACAAGATGGCTACCAACAGTGGTTATGGGCAAGTGATTGAATATATTCAAGGTTCGTTAGCTTCCTGCCATCGCCGATGAGCATGTTGCATAAGCAACAGCTGGAAATTACATCGTCAGTGGAAGTGTTTATGTGCAGCTGGCTAAATGTTCGGGCAAAACAGATCGTCTCTACCTCGCCTCCTACGATAACCCTCCTGATGCACGAACCCCATTTCCTTATCCCCTGGAGCAGCCGAGATCACCGTCCAAGCGCTCTGCGAGGGCTCAGCCTAGCACTCCTAGCAAGAAGCGCAGTCCCGTCTATTTCACAGTAGATGATGTCTTGTTGTACAACTCATTCCATGCCGATTTCGGCCCTCTACACATCGGTCACTTGTATCGGTTCGCGGTCCAGTTCCACGAGATTCTTGGGGAGCCTGAAAACCGTGATCGTGCAGTGGTGTTCTACTCTAAGACGGATGCACGAAGCCGTGCTAATGCTGCTTGCCTGGTTGCCTGCTACATGGTCCTGATCCAGGCCTGGCCCCCGCACCTCGCCCTGGCACCAATTGCGCAAGCCGATCCCCCGTACATGCCATTCCGTGACGCAGGCTATAGTCAGGCAGATTTCATTCTAAACATCCAGGATGTTGTCTATGGTGTGTGGAAAGCTAAGGAGCAGTCGCTCTGCAGCCTCAGGGACTTTAGTCTTGAAGAGTATGTATAATAGCAATTGGCTCTCATTGACTCTACTGACATCTTTGTTAGATACGAAAAGTTTGAGCGTGTTGACATGGGTGATTTCAACTGGATCACCCCGCAGTTCCTCGCTTTCGCCTCGCCGCAACACCAACCGATTGCGCCAATCCCTCAAAACACGCCCGAGTTCGCAGCGCTTCCATCCACCGTCTCTGAAGTCCTCTCTTCAAAGCTACCTCTTCCTTTCAAAAACGTTTTGGCGCACTTTTCATCCCGTAACATCGGTCTTGTTGTGAGACTGAACTCCGAGTTGTACTCTCCCTCCTACTTCACGGCTCTGGGCATCACCCATGTGGATATGATCTTTGAGGACGGAACCTGCCCTCCCCTGCCACTTGTGCGTCGCTTCATCAAAATGGCACACGAAACGATCTCTAAGAAGAAGGGCATTGCTGTTCACTGCAAGGCCGGTCTGGGACGGACTGGATGCTTAATCGGCGCGTACCTCATCTACAGATACGGATTTACTGCCAACGAGATCATTGCTTTCATGAGATTCATGCGACCAGGCATGGTAGTCGGTCCTCAACAGCACTGGCTACACCTCAACCAGGGCTCTTTCCGCGAGTGGTGGTACGAGGACTCGATGAAGGAGAAGCTGGCTCAGATGCAGGCTGCTCCCATCACCCCTGGACGGCCATCTACCAGACAGCGGGCCAACGGACCTGTCGCCACGCCGCCGAACAACGGCCATTCTAAGCGTGCTGCTCTTGGCGAGATCGACCACAACGAAGGAGCTGGGGCCCCGGCGGAAGAGTACCTCCCCGCACCCACTCCTGGACAGCCTCGCAAGTCACACAGAAAAGACTCCCGCCATCACCCCTATGCCCGTACCACATCTGGAAGCTTGGTTGTCGACAAGGATGGCAATAAGAATCCCGAACAGACCAGCCATAGACACCACCGTCTTAGCAACGACAGCAGCGAGAGTGAAGAGGAGATCCAATTGCGTATGTTGGCGAAGCGTTCCTCCAGATCCCCTGTCGCATCTCCCAGTCAGCGGTCCGTTAGTTACTCTGCTACAGTAACTGCTAGCTACACCCTGAATGACGATGATCGAGAGAACTGGGGCGATGCTGCCGCGTATGCAGCACCGAAGACTCCTGTCAGCACCAAGAGTGGCAGTGGAGCGATCGCAGTAACAAAGGTTCGGACGAGCCCCAGGCGTGCAACAGACACGAGGAGTGAGACGAAGGTTCGGAAGGCTAGCGGTCGCGTTGGCAGTGCTGGAAGTCCCACGCGGGTGAAATAAACGCCTCACCGGCGCAGGTATACTTCTTTTCTTCTCCGCGCTCTTGAGCCTTTTCAGATATCCTTTTCTTCATTTCTACTTTTTGCCTATTGTTGCTGCCGGGGTATAATATGTGCATAGTCCCGTGTATTTTCTCTTCTTTGCTACCTGCGCTTTGACTTTACACTTTCTTTTTGGCAATTCTTCGGTGCGGTTGTGGGTGTTGGGTTCTGGTGCAAAATTCCATGGGTCTGGGTGTGCGTGTTTATGGCGTCTGGTTACACTGTTGATGGTCAAATGATATCTAGAAGTTGGTCTGGAATACACCAAGTCTTTGACTGGCACATGATGTTTATAATGTGTCGAGTGGCTGTTATCGATCAAACGCGTTTCTCTGTACGTATATGATCTACGTCGATATGACCGATTCGTTATGACCTGTCTTTGTGGAATGGCTGCTCCGTAAATACTTCCTCAATCTCGGCCATTGTAGCAGTGAAGCTTCTCGCAGAATGCTTGTATGTCCACGCAGGTAGTAATTTATCGATCGGCCCTCACTACCCTCATATCGAGCGATGTAACGAACCACTTGATTTGGCAAGCAAATCATCCGCATCGCACTATCTCTGTTAGAAAGCAACCAATTGCATGTCTTCGACTGCGAAGCTATGCCACCTAAAGCAGTATACAGCAGCTACTACCCTCTACCACGGCCGTCCGACCTAAAAGAGGAACCGATCAATTCAGCTTCGTGGTCCCTGACGGCACAGAACAAATCAAGCCTTGCAAAAAGCGATATTCTACTCTTTTGACTGGCATCTGTCGAATTTAGTAGTACTGAGTGTGGTGTTTGCTATTCTATTTCATAGGATATTGACTATTGAATACACATTTCGCAATTGTGGGATATAAATATAGAATAGACCTCATTTATAACAACAAGCATTGTTAGTCTAACGGTTATGATACTCGCCTTCCAAGCGAGTGGCCGGGGTTCGACTCCCCGACAATGCATCTTTTTTTCCTTCCGCTCCGGATACCTACCGTCCTGCAAGATGCTTCTCTTTTTGCGACAGAGCGTTGTTTAAGGAATGGGTCCAATAAATAGAATTTCGTTTTCTCACTGTATGCATCAATGAATAAACTGGGAAGGCTGTTTATCTCTTACGGCTTGGTTAATTACTTGTGTCGAGGGGTTGAAGCTTGTATGTTTGCATGCTAATCCTAGTTGAGGACTTCCTCCCAAAACGTAGACTCGAGCCACGCTTCTCATAATTTGAGAACTATAACTTAGTCACAAGATAGACACCTTTCCCAGATATTTGTCACTGTCATCATTGAAATTTTACACTATTCCTTTCAATTTAATCCTAACAATCCTTCCCTACCATAAATATCAAAAACTTTAGCATCTACCCTAACAAACCCCCTCCAAATGCGCCCGAATCAAATCCCGATACTCCCCCGCCCTCGGCGTACTCTCCTCAATCCCCTGAACCTTCGCCGCATCATCCCAAAGCCTCAACTTGACCATCTCATCCCGCAACGGATCCGTCTCGAAGGCCTCTAACTCTGCGCCTTTAAACGGCCCGCCTTGGAACTCGAGTGATTTCTTCGAAGCAGAAGACAATGTCTCGTAGTATGCTTTGTCTGTGGCGGTGAGGTATCTATCACACTCATTTATCTTATCAGTACAAGATCTAAAGATAGTAGTTGTGGGACTCAAGGGGAGGGTGTAATATACCGCTTCGCCGGAACATGACTCTCAACTAACCGACAAACCTTATCACTGAAACCCAGTGAACGAAGGTATTCCGCTCCGATAGTCTCGTGACCCATTCGACCGACATTCTCGGTATCTTTGTTTTCGCTGTTGGATTTCAGGTTCATCCGCACTTCCTTCGTGGATGAAAGGGGGATAATTTGGCCGATGTCGTGGAGGAGGGCGGCGAGGATTAGTTCGGGGGATGCGCCTGGAAGGAGTTTATTTTGTCAGTCTATTTTTTTTCGTTCCTTATGGTGATGGTTTGGTGTTCAAGTGGTTGAGCGGCTCTCGTACCTGATTTTCGGGCTTGGTGCGCGGCTTGTAGACAGTGTTCGAGCTGGCTGATGGATTCGCCGATGTAGTCGCCTTGTCCGTATTCTTCGAGGGAGGTTACGAGGTAGGTGGCTTTTTCGAGGGGGGTTTTGAGGGTCATTTTGGGAAGTTGGGCCGGGGGCAGGGAGGTGTGTGGAGGTGGTAGTATGCTCTGGAGGGAGGGATATGATGTGGATGTGGGAAGAGTGACCAGGGGGAGAGGGATCTTATAGGAGCGATTTCTGCTGGTTTCATGAAACCACGTGCTTTCGCTTTTATTAGCCTCGACTACGGTAATGCTGAATTGGATTATGAATATCATCTTCTGTCTTGAAATCATGGAATTGGGATTCTTGGCTGCGTGAACTTTTGATGATAGATGTTACTATGTGGTGAACAATCGTTTGATCTACATGGTTTACTACTTCGTGGTATTGATTTAAGATGTATAACGCCAGACTATCGACTCCTTTCTTCAAATGTCTAATTTGCCCGTTCTCAGCAAGCCATGCATTCATGAAAATTGCACCCTAAGTTTACGTTACGCAAGTACCGGCTGTTGACCCTCGACCGTCAGCATCGGGGAGCCGTAGCCATACCGCATTCTGCCCTCCTCATACGTCTCCCCCTCTTTCCGCATGTGCGTGGCAGGCCACAGCTTGCGGCGGTCCTCATAGTACTGATCGTGCAGGTCACCCTCAGCCAAGCGGTTGTATGTGGCGTAAATTGCGCGTCGGTCCTTGGAGCTGGTGTTGGCGCCACTCTTGTGGGCAAGGTAGGAGCCAAAAACGAGAATGTCACCTGAGTAAACTGATGGTTAATTTTGGAATAACAGTTTTATCAGAACAAACATACCCGGTTGTAGATTGCAAAGCGTCCATGTTTGGCTCTTGACCCAGCCAGGCTCAATGCAGCGGTCCTCTCCAAGCGGTACCTCCGTAAGGTGACTGCCGTTGACCACGTCAAGTCCACCATTCTCTGAGGTCATCTCGTCAACAGCAGCAAGCACCGTCAGGTGCTTAATTTTCTTGACGTGGGTGTATGCATTGGCGTCGATATGAGGAGAGAAGCCACCTGCGTCGTATTAGCTGCTTTTCTATCCAGTGCGGCAGATGTTTTCCCCTTACCACTACCAGCGAGTTTGTAGTTAATCTTCTCTTTAAATAGGATCATGTCCTCTGTAGCTAGCTGACGTAGAACGCTTAAGATGCGTTCACCACGCAGAAAACTGTCGAAGCCAGCATGAGAATTGGCATAGTTTTCTGTGCGGCAGAGGACCCTTTTGCCTTCGGCATTGACTTCCTGCAGCCGGGATAAGTTCGCCAGCCAGCTGCTAAGAAAGGTGACACTTGGATCTCACCTCATAGGGCATATAAGTTGCATCTGGAGTCCTTGGGAGGTCGTGTACTTCCTGAGTCCACTGTTGTAGGACCTTGGTCTCAGGAGGATTGAAGAAGCCCTGGATGAGCAAGTATCCCTTCTCCTCGTAAAACTGGAGTTGGTCCTCCGTCAGTGTGTAATAGCTGTTATCCATGATGCCAGTCTTGCTATGATCGGATTAATACTTCGGTTCAATCTGCAGAGAGCACATGTCCTTTTTCCCGACCGAGATTGGGGCCATCGCACCCATAAATCCTCTAATGCGAGCCCCCTTGCTCGTGAACGTTACTTCCAGCTGCCGACCTTCATATGTCACTATGCCGGGCCGGTGCGAGGTCCGTGTTCCAGAGTGGGGGATGTCGGAGCACGAGGCAGAAGTGTCAGCGAGGGGTTGCGCCGAGGCCAGGCACGAGACAGGCTGATCCTTGAAGGTATCTCGAGGCATAGAACCACTCAGGATGCGATAAAACGCCCATGTGCCCGGGACGAGGCGCTATCATAGGGCGCGGGCCGTTCTGATAAGCCCCGCCGGACTACGGACCTTCTTGCCTAAGCGAGGCGGAGATCCCCGCCAGGGCCCTGCCTAGACTGGGTATAGTTTGTCCTTTCAGTTACATTAGATAGACCTCGCCGAAAACTCTCCGCCTGCTGTACGAAAGGTGGGTTCGTCTGCCAGCAGCGATGCAACACTATGTATCTCGTGCGAGCCATGCCGGCTGCCATTGGATAGCATGGCACGTTCTCGAGGAGTCCATTGTTCCCAAAAGAACTATTAGCTGCACTGAAGTAGAATGTAGTGAGGATGCAACGGACAAGTTAAGGACAGAATATAGCCCACGAAGTCGCAGTCACTCCTTTTGCCCGATAAAAACACCTCTACAGTCGACACATTGGCATCTTCTATCATGGCTATAGCAACCAATTGCTCCGCGACCGAACGGGTTGAAAACACCTTGAAGCATAGCCATCAGGTCGAGATAATCAAGCAAGATGACACCAATGCTATCGAAAATGGTGAGTTAGGGGCCTCATCAGGTGTTCTGAATGTTGTCGTCTCGGGACTGGGACTCTTCAGTGATGGATATAATGCTCAGATCAGTGAGTACACCTTTAGCGAAGCCTGTGCTTAGCATGTCATGCCCAGATTGCGTAAGAAACTTCACTAAACTCAGTATTCGCAAAGTCGGCTACATGGAGCCTCTGTTTTCTGTCTTGTTGGTCCCCATCAGGAGCCCCATAGCTTAGGGCTATCTATTAACGCAATCATTGGCATTAGGTATAAAAATACCATGTCCTCAAGCATCAAAACCAGACTATCAAACTCCTTCCTAATTGGAGAGATCTTTGGTATGCTCTTCTTCGGTGCTTTGATTGACCGAGTGGGAAGACGGACAGGGGTGGTGGCTACTACCTTGTTCTTGGTGCTTGGTATCATCTTGTCTGCTGCAGCACACGGTACCTCGGATTTGGGGTGAGACTCGCTTCAATTGAACGAAGTATTAACTAGAAGTTTTGACTCTGTGATTAGGATGTTTTGGATGATGATTGTTGCTCGCGGTATCGCTGGGTTCGGCGCTGGTGGCGAGTATCCTGTCTGCGCAACCAGTGCAACTGAAGCGGCCGATGAGACCGCCAGCCTCCGGAAGAAGAGAGGATTTCTGGTCGCGTCGACCACAGACTTTGCTGTGGATATGGTGCGTACCTTAATGCTCCTAGGACTGGGACCCACACCACTAAATGTATTTGATTAGGGCTTCGTGGCGGCCGGTATAGTAGCCCTCATTGTTCTCGCATGCTTCCACCAGGATGTCAAGAGTGGTGTTTGGAGGGTCTGTTTTGGGCTTGGTTTTGTGGTATGCTCGAAGAACCCTCAGCACGAAGTGATGTATTGAAAACTGTGACAGATACCTGTTTTCATGTGTTTCTTTCGGATTCGCATGATCAACTCGAAGCAATATCGCAAACACGCCATCAAGTCGCGGTATCCGTACTGGCTCGTCCTTCGGAGGTATTGGAAACCAATACTGGGAACCTGTAAGTTTTGTTTCTGGATATAATTGCAATAGTCGTCCTGATATTTTAGCTCTCGCTTGGTTCTGCTACGACTTTGTCACGTATCCATTTGGACTCTTCACTTCTACCATCATCTCTCAACTCAGCCCAAACAATACAACAGTGGAGAATATTGGGTACGGTGTACGTGAAATAAGCAGCCGGATATTATAGTATCGAGATGCTGATATGGTCCACCAGACGGTTGTTAATTGCTTCTATCTCCCAGGCTGCCTACTGGGAGGGCTCCTGATGGATAAAATTGGAAGAAAGCAGAACATGACTCTCGGCTTCGTGCTCTGGGGTATATGGGGCTTCATTCTGGGCGGCGCTCTTCGGCCGATACAGTCAGTATTCCCGTTATTCGTCGTTATGTACGGCATTTTCAACGCCCTGGGTGAGATGGGCCCCGGTGTGTCGACCTTTCTGTGCGCCGCAGAGTCATTCCCCACGCCGCTTCGTGGTCACTTCCTTGGTCTGGCCGCCGCAGTTGGAAAGGCGGGTGCATCAATTGGGACTGAAGTATTTACGCCCATTCAGGACTCGTTCTCATCTACCGAAAAAGGTCAACAAGCCGTCTTCCTGATAGGGTCGGCTTTCTGTATGGTTGGTGCGTTGATAGCGTGGTTCCTGATTCCGGACATGTCGCGAGAGCTGGAAACCGAGGATGCCAGGTTCAAGGCGTATTTGGAAGAGAACGGGTACGACATCAGCTCATATGGGGAGGCGCTCTGCGTGGAGCAAAAAGATAGATAGTTAGAATTTGGGAACGGTGACAGGTCTCTCCAGGAAATCTTTCCAACGAAGATGATACCGCGCGCAACTTATAATGCCAATGAGGTGGTAATTTGATCATTCTCTTGCAGTGGATCTGATGTTGATGCTGAGTAACGCCCGAGCCCATCTAATTCAGATGGGCGTTCCGTTTCTTGGACAGCCCAGGCAATACATTCGTGCCAGTCTAGCGGCAATGCCTTACGAACGGTAACAACTATTTCTCTCCCCCAGTATGCCATCCATATGTTTCTCCGCAGCCAGTCGAGTGTAACTGCGTAATTGGCTAGAATGGCCAGAGCCAAGGGCTCGCCAATGCGCACCATTGACCAGAACTCTGACGGGCAAATAACAGCGAAATATGAAAATGTCATTTTGATGCGGCGATACATAATTGCCATTGCAAGGCTGTGTCTCAAAGTTTGTATAGTCGGTTCATATATACCCATGCGAGCGGCTTCGGGCGCCATTGCAGCGCGTGAAAGGAGTTTGCTTAGCACATCTTCGAGCTCAGCTGAAAGCACCGTCGGTGGAAACGGATGTGGCAACATTAAGACGGACCAACGACTACGTACCATGGTCTCGTGATCAGCTTTGACGAGAAAGGATGATCCTCGGATGAGAGAGAAGACCTGGTGAAGCCTGTCGATAGGATCTTCTGTAGGCTCAGAGGGACGCTGGATCCCAAAAGTATAGAGGGCGACAACGCATGAAAATGCAAAAACAGCATCATGATTTTCGGGTGTGATATTAGAAAGGTGTGGCCGAAACATTGCGACACCGAGATCATGATGGCGGATAGCCATGACCGTGTGTCTCTGCGGTGAAACCCCCTTAAGAGCCAAGTGTAAGGCACTCAATCCCAAAAGGCCGTGCAACAGAAAGTTGTGTTTGAAAGCCAGCTCAGTAACCCACTCTCCCCATAACGATTGGTTTTGGTCTCGTGGTATGATGACGTCCGTGATACTTCTTGATGTGTGTAAAGCGTAGTGATTCATTAACCTCAGCCGTTCTTTTTCTGTGTCCGTAAAGTCACATTCCATGTCAGAGTGTTCCGTACCAGGCGTGGAACCTGCAACAGAAACAAAATCGCTAGGGGATTGGCTGCTATATCCGTCGGAATTGCTAGATAATTGGTGAATGATACGAGATGAGTCGTCTCTGGCTTGATTTGAAGGCATTTCATTTCTGGGTGCGACGAATACCAGATTCGCTGGCTGAGCAGCCAATGAGCAAGCCGAACCTATTCTTCTGCATCGGCCACATTGGGGTCTGTCTTCGTCGCACTACTTAACGATAAGCACGGGGGACACACACGGAGCCACGTAACTAACCTTTGTGCGATTATTCTTACACTGCGAACAGCCATGTCGGCTCTTATTGTGGTAGCGCCTTTGAGGCATGAGCTGCGGTGCTATTAGACTGAGTCAATCTGATAGAAACGGGCTGATTATTCGGGAATCAGTACTGAACAAATAATGCGATGATAGAACGATGGATACCCTCTCCAGAAGAGGGCTGTTATAATAGTATGTTTAGTCACGACATGAAGGCTTAGGGCGCCGCGAGGCCCAGGAAAATCCGAGAAACCGGCTGAATTGGGTGGATAGATAGATAGATACCATAGCTTAGCTCTGAGGTGAGAAGTGGCGCGGAGAAGGCAAGAGAGTACGTGAGCAGTGACCCGTGGATGATCGACACGCTAGCCCTTATCCGGCAATTTGTACGTGGTACGGTCTATAGTACCTGGGATCGAGCACCCTTTTAAGCTCTCCCTTTCGCTCATTGCTTGTCCACGCGAGAACATGCATCGGATATTAACTGATATGCAACTCCTATCCCCGATAAGCCCCTAAAGTCCGTGCAAAGTTGTTCCCTTTCCCTTATATATGAGACCCTCCGGACCTCACTGCCCTGCCTCAAATTCGATACTCATCGTTCATAACCTCTCATTACTGTATCTATCTACCATGGTCGGATTAGACGACGTATGTGCCACGAACACTGCCCTAGTTCAGCGCCAGCCGTTGGTTGCTGTCTTCTTTGGTGGTACCTCAGGCATTGGTCACTATACCTTGCGTGCATTGGCCACGGCGGAAGCCAATGGTGGTAAAGGCTTTCGTGCATATATCGTTGGCAGAAATATGAAAGCCGCCGAAGAGATTATTGCAGAATGTCGTGGCATCTGCCCCAAAGCCCAGATCAGATTCTTGCAGACTGAAGATATCTCGCTGATTCAGAATGTTAATCGCGTCTGCGAAGAGATTATTCAGATGGAAGAAAAGGAGCAACAAGACCCAAGGATCGACTATCTCATGCTAAGTCAGGGAGGGCCTATATACCAGCCACGGAAAGGTGCATTCGAAATTATTGGTTATAACTGCATTTCTGACAATTTCGCAGACACGAAAGAAGGTATCGACGTCACGATGTCCTTGATGTACTACTCTCGCATGAGAGCGATAACAAAGCTCCTTCCATTGCTACTCAAATCCACTCTCCCTGCAACAGTCGTTTCGGTTTTTGCCGCTGGTTACGAGCAAAAGCTATTTCCCGACGACCTCTCTTTACGCGATCTAAATAACTATAACTACTCTACGGCTCGCTCACATATGATTTACATGCATGTGTGCTTCATGGAAACCTTGGCTGAGCAAAATCGTGGGAAGCTCAGTTTGATACACATCTTCCCTGGTCTCGTGTTGGGACCTGGGTTTGAAAAGCATGACTTGCCTGCTTGGTTTAGAGTTCTGTGGCGTTACATATTTGTTCCCTTCTTCTCACCTTTCCTGACTGTTCCACCATCCGAGAGTGGTGACAGGATGCTGAGCCTGGCGTCGTCTCGTTATCCGCCACGGGGGGCGACTCTTGCGCAGAACAAAGAGGAGACTACTGTGGGGACAGATGGTGAGCCTGGAAGCGGTGCTTACTCTCTTGGCAAGAGCGGCGATAGCAACTACAACGCCAAGTCCTATGAGAAGATCAACAAGGACGAACTGAGGCAGAAGGTGTGGAATCATACTATGAGCGCTTTCGAGCTTATCGAGGCAGGTGAAGTTTTTGCGGATTGAGGGGGTCTGATGGATAACTTAAGGGATGGATTTGTTGTAATGAAATTTGACCATTGGGATCAAATTGTAGCACCCTGCGGAGACTAATCCGCCACTGCATTTCTGAAGAAGTGAGCTTCCGGAAGTTCGATAGATACAATTTGCCGCATCGTATCAATTCAGGACTATCTCAAGTCTGCGTTAGATTTTTGTAAGAGTTCAAAACATCCAGCTTCAGCTCCGAGCTTACGCTCGGAGATCCCGACAATTCCGCGGAGGGCCCGTTCATGTCCGGGAACAGCCTCCGGACATAGCCTCAACTGCGGAGTATACAAAAAGGCGACCATCCCCACCAGACCTCATACCCTCAAATAAGCATTGACTACTCCCAGAACCCTCAAATGCTACCCAATTCAACCCACCATGTCCAACTCATCAGCTGCTAGCCTTGTCGCTTTGAACTCGTCAACGCTTGGTACTGCGATGCCAGAAGTGACTCTACCGGATGGCAGCAAAGTGCAGACAGGCACAGTAGGGCAAGTAATCCTTCGAACCCGCTAATTTATTGCTTCAGAGTTTGGACTGAATTGACGATGGATGTAGAGCACTGTTGGTCAATATCCGGGCGTATAATGAAGCCCATGCAGCTGGGGACAAAGTCAAAATGGACACGCTCAGGACGGCTCTTAGAGCTGCGATCCCACTGTTAATGAAAGTGGGCATGTTTGACCTGTTCCCGCCTGAGGAGTGGATACAAGGGGATAATGAGGGGCGAAAACAGGTCGGGGAGATGTATCTGGAATTATTGGAGTCGATGTGATTGTACTTTATGCCCTGTTAAACTTCGAGCTTAAGAACTTGTGGAGCGTTTCGCTGGAGTTATGGTCAGTTTGTCACTCATCATATTAGTTATCTCCGAATGATTCTATGCGAAGCTCTGGACGCGATACCAAAACAAGTTAGTTCCCGCTTTGGAAGTGCCCGGTCTCGGGCAGGTCAGGCCTGCTTCTTGATTTACCCGCTTTCAACACTTGCTCCAAATCTTCGCTCTCAATTATGTCAGTATGGTAATGAGTTGATCGCTGCGTTCAATGCTGGTTGTTTATTACCAAAATGCCAGACTCTAATCTGCGCAGCCGCCAACATCGATCACATGCGGTTCGCCGCAATGGGTCCTTGCAATCGTGTGAGCCGTGTCGCAAATCTAAATTGCGATGCGACCATGAGAGACCAGTCTGCGGCCGATGCTTGACTAAGAATATGGTATCGGGATGTTTTTATCATCCAGCACCGATGACGAAGAAAGCGACTGGAGGCTTGACCAGGTCTGCCAGAGGGCCACAAGGAAGAAATAGCCAGTCAATTGCAAGGTAACAATTCTCCAGTCACATCCAAAAACAACTACAGATGGAAGTCCAGCGCACGAAGGTGTGCTGACATCGTTATAGCTCCTCAACTACAGGAGCAGGCGGAGGGAGCGCTCTTCCAGGACGGAACACTACGTTGGAGCCGGCTTCTGCTTCTCCTGGATACTTGGGCTCGACGAGCTACTCAGCCATTCTTGCGGAGCATCGTCCCGAGTTCTCTCTCAATGTAGATAACAGCTCCATGCCCACCACATTGTCCCAATCTATGGAACCCGAACGACTCCAGACTGGAGTGCGGTTACTAAAGCTACTTCAAAACCTCACAATATGCGATAGCTTAATCCGGAGATATTACACCCGAGTCCTTGTTGCTGTCATTCCAGAGATCGTCACAATGTCTATTGTACGCTCCGCTCGGAATGTTCTCGGGGCCCTTGATTTCACCGAGGATGTCGAAGATCAGCTTCAAAACACAGTTCGTAAGGTCTCGCAGAATACTTCCAGGCCATTGTCAACCTATGGTTCAATGACAGTGGAGCAATACTGTGCAGCGTTTACTGAGCAAAATTTACGTTGGGAAGCTATAGGCATCATCTTCGCAACTGCTGGTATGTCGCTTTCATCTACACCTGAGAGTGACCCAGATCTATACCAGGTGGCGGCGGACACCTCAGCCCGGGAGAGACTCCGCGCTCAGCTTGTCGAAGCGAGCAGCACCTGCCTCACTTTCAGCGACCAGGCTTCTTCAGTCAATGAGCTATTGGGCTTTTGTCAGTATAGCAGCTTTGTACTTCTCACCCATGTCTACGGTGACTCAAGTAAGTACAGAGACCTTGTCTTTCCAGTATTACTCTTCTTAGGACTGGCATATGCTAATTCTCGTTTGAAATTAGGCTACCAAGCCTGGCGTCGCCTCCGTGAATTATCCGCTACAATCTATGCGGCTGGACTTCACCAGGAGAGCCCCATGGGCGATAATTGCCCTTTGTTTCTTCGTCAATGGAGAAGGTCGTGCTTTGCTGCTGCCTTCTCAGCAGATAAGAACCAAGCCACATTCGTGGGACGACCGCCATCCATTAACTACCGCTACAGCACCCTAACACCCCCGCTGGACATTAGCGAAAGAACGATAGTCCATGGTGGGGATGAGCTAAACGCGGCGATCTCAAGATTGGATAGCTTCGGTTGGTCAGCCAAAGTTGAGGTCGACCGAGCAAGTGTGCTCCGTCTTCGTTTCATATTGGCCGTATTTAGGGAGCGAGCTCTCGAGATAGCCTTAGGGACCGGTGAGCACAGCAATACGGTGCAGAATTCTGAGTGAGTCATACTCATGCCATGGTGTCTCGTGCGAATGAAAATGATCTTGTCGCTAATCTATTCAAGTGAAATAATAAAGCAAGCGCGGGAGTCGTGGGCAGTGTGCCCCGTCCGTCTCCGTTACGACGTGTCTGCGGAAGGGACCGAGTCGGGACCCCTAACAAAGTCGTTCACCTTGCTTCATATTTACCTGGACTACCTTTACACTATTTTCCTTTTGCAAAGGACTGTTGTTAAACGCGCGAACACCGGGCATGAGGCTCTCTTCGATACGTCACGAACAATGTTGTCCAATATCATCAAAGGCAACGCTGACAGTGACCCAGCCTTCGACTTGAGCAGACATCGTGCTTGGATCGTATGTTGAAGACCCTTTAGAGTATGCTGTCTTTCCTATAATTAACATGGTGCAGTTCCTTTACTACGGCCTCCCCAGTGCCAGCGTCCTCATCCTCGAGCTCCTTCACCAAAACCAGGGAATCGGTACATACACTACTGCGTTACCGCGTGCTGAAATCATCCGAAATCTGAGTGTTTTCATCTCATGCCTCTCCTGGGTAGCGCGACCGGGACATGGCAATTACCACACGTGCAAGGAAGCGGAGAGGAAGTTGTCTCATATTCTTGACCAGGTTCTTGATCCTCAGCCCATCGAGGATCTGGCTTTCCACGATGCCACCTCTGGCCTGTACAGTCTCCTGGACTGGTACCATCCCAGCAATCTCAACAATTGGGACTTCAACTCAGAGTATCTACCTCCGCAAAACTGACTTCTCTTGTGAGATGTAAACATATGGGTATCGCATTAATCATCAAAGGTCATTAACTCATGAAAGAGGATCCCAACTATCGTCCAGGACCAACCAATGGGGACCCGCACATGGACTGGCCCATGTTTCCTATAAAGCCGAAAAAAGAAGATATTGATACCCATCGTGAGCGACAACATTCGAGTGGAGTAAGACGGGCGTGGGGTGAATGCCCAGACAAGACACCAAACGCCGCATAAGCCTGGAAAAAGAAGAGGTCGGTCGCATTCACACCATCCACACAAACTCATTACTCGGATGGGTCTCTTGAACGTAATACGCTCTATGACAGAGTGGGCAATTGAAGTGGTCTTGCAGATACCACTTTTCGAGACATTCTCGATGGAACACGTGCAGACATTTGAGTTCTCGGATTTCCTGGCAGCGCAGGACCGACTCGAGGCAAACAACGCTGTCAACGGCACCGTTAGTGGGCGAACAACTTGCTAGCGTTGCCGCTAATTCAGCCGTTGGTCGGCGGATGCAAGCTAAACGTACCATATGAAGTCGCCATCAACACCTTCGGACGGTAAAAGAGGGCCTTTAGCTCGCGACCACCAATCTTCTAATGTCCGAGTTGGGGAGACAGCATCCAGCTTGCGTAATTTGTCGCTAGAGCTGCCTTTGCTCTTGAGAACGGGATGGCGCTCACGCCGATTGACGAAAAGGGTCAGACTATACAGATATAGGGTATTAGTGGCGCGAATGCGATCATGACCAGCATCGGGCACAAAGCTGAAAAGGGGCTGGCCAATTACTCACAGCAAACACATGATGATTAAGGTCGCGACTCCTAGTCCGATTCCTAAGACAATGGCCATGTGGTGATTGACCTGAGGGTTATCCTTTTTCTCCGACAACCCCATGTTCCTCGTCGCGGGAACTCGGTGTGGTCGGGCGGCGAGCGAGAGAGAGGCGACAATCCTCAACCGAGGCCGAGGATGTCTTTCCTTTAGTTATATTTTGTCTTCTCGTTAATTCTGAAGAGAGTTGTTCCACAGCCCTGGGGATTCTGGCCGCTAATAAAGGACACGAGCCACCACCAAGCGTTGTACCTCTGATCGTCGTCACCTGGCGGGGTATGCGCCAACCATGCTTTATCAGGCCATCCCGAAGCCATCAATCAGCAGATGCTCGTGAGACGTACATTTCCCACGGTCGCTGACGCCCGAGTATTCAAGAAAAAGGAATGAGGGGCTTGACTGAATAACTCTTTGGTTTTAAGATCAGGAAATCACAGTGCTATCGCCATCACCATGACAACACAGGGTTCCTTTATCTGGCTTCAGGCTATGTGCCACCCATGTGCTTTATTCCCTTGAAAGCCCAGCCAGAGGCATCTGGCTGCCTGCATTCCACACCTTTTTCCCCAGGTCATCCGGCAGCAGCTTCTCCCAACTACTAGCGCAGGTTGCCGCTGGGGGGCTCAGCAGCGCACATCCATCACTCTAAACGATGCTACTAACCCTATAGCACTGACCGTCGGGCGATCGCTGCAAGCATTGATTCATTCCTTCCCATGCGCCCC